TTGTTCCTTCAATTTTTTTTTTTTTTTTGAGACAGGGTCTCACTCTGTCATCCAGGCTGGAGTGCAGTGGCGTGATCACAGCTCACTGCAGCCTTGACCTTCTGGGCTCAAACAATCCTACTGCCCCAGTCTCTTGAGTAGCTATAGATGCCACAGCTACAGATGCCCACCACCATGCCCACCTAATTTTAAAACTTTTTTATAGAGACAGGATCTCACTATGTTGCCCAGGCTGGTCTTGAACTCCTGGGCTTGAGCGTTCCTCCCACCTTGGCCTCCCAAATTTCTGGGATTACAGGCATGAGCCACTGTGCTGAGCCTGTTCCTTTAATTTTCATATCTTGCTTCTTATACTTGAAGCTTTTTAGTCACATAAATGTTTATATTTTTTATGTTTTCATGATGAGATGACAATTTTTTATTAAGGAATGTCACTCTTCAACTTTGATAATTCTTTTTGACTTGAAGTTTATTTTGTATAATAATAGTATATCAATACCAGGTTTCTTAGATTTGCTTGGTCTATGTTTTCGCTTCCTTTTACTTTCAACCTATCTGGATCTTTAAAATGCATTGCATCTCATGCCAAAGCACTTACTTGAATCTTGCTTTTTATTCATCCTTGCAATCTTTTTCTTTTCTTTGGATTGTTTAGTTCATTTATATTTAATATAATTATTGATTTGGTAGGATTTAAGTCTATCATCTTGCTATTTGTTTTCTGTTTGTCTCATTTTTTGTTTCTCATTTCCTCCATGGCTTTATTTTGGTTTATACAATATTTTTAGTATTCTATTTTAATTCATCTATTGATTTTAAAGTTATATGTCTGTATATTTTTATTTTTTCATGGTGGCTCTAGGGCAGCACTCTCCAACTGAATGTTCTTTAGTAGTGAAAATGTTCTGTGTCTTTCCAATATAGTAGACACTGGCTACATGTGACTATTGATACGTTGAAATATGGCTAGTACAACTGAAGACTGAAATTTAAATTTTATTTATTTTTAATTAATTTAAGTTTAAATTTAGTCACTTGTGGCTAGTGACTACCATAGTATTTAGCACAACCTTAACAGTCTATTTAGAGTTAATATTTTACTATTTCATGTGAAATGTAAGAATCTTACAATAGTACAATTTTGTTAACTCTGTCCTTTTTTTCTTTCTCCAAAAGCATTGCTTAAAAAAAAAAAAAAAAAAAACACGCAAACAAAACCCTCTGTCCTTTTTTGTAATTGTTGTCATGTATTTTACTTTTACATGAATTGAGAGTCCTACAATATATTTGTCTTTAAATAGTCTGTTGTTTAAAAAAAAAGAGAAGAAAAAAAGTTCTTTATATTTACACATCTACTTACCATTTCTGGTGCTATTTATTACTTTCCGTAGTTTAGATTTCCCTCTGCTATCATTTTCCATCATCCCCCCCAAATTCTTCTGTTAGTATTTCATATAGTTTACAATGAATCCTCCCAGCATTTGTTTATCAGAAAATGTCTTTTTTTGTTTTCATTTTTGAGAAAATGTTAGAATTCTGGCTAGGTGTGGTGGCTCACACTTGTAATCCCAGCACTTTGGAAGGCTAAGGCAGGAGGATTGCTTGAGCTCAGGAGTTCAAGAACAGTTTGGACAATGTAGTTGAGACCCTGTCTCTACAAAAAAAAAAAAAAAATTAGTTGGACATAGTGGTATATACTTGTAGTCCTAGCTAATTGGGAGGCTGAGGTGAGAGGATCACTTGAGCTTAGGAGGTAGAAGCTGCAGTGAGCTGTGATTTTATCACTCTGGGCAACTGAGCCAGACATGGCCTCAAAAAAATAAAGCTGGGTTGATCTATTCTTTCAGTACCTTAATGACATCATTCCATTTCTTTTGGCCTACACTGTTTCTAGTATGTGATTCATAGCATTGTTCCCCTTATGTCTTTGACTTTTTTTTCTGTTTCAACATTTATTCTATATTTTTGGTTTTTAACCTTTTGACTACAGTGTAGCTGGTGTGTTTTCTTTCTTTATCTTATTTTATTTTTTGTATTTATTCTGCTTGGAGTTTGTTGATTCTTCAATCTGTAGGCTGTTTTCCACCAAATTAGAGAAATTTCAGCCAATTTTTTTTTTTTAATTTCACTCTACCCCATTTTCTTTTCCTTTCTTTTACTGAGATTCTATTTTTTTTTTATTTTATTTTATTTTAGAGATGGGGTCTCATTCTGTTGCCTGGGCTGGAGCACAGTGGTACAATCGGAGCTTACTACAGCCTTGACTTCAGGGCTTAAGTGATCCTCCCACCTCAGCCTCCCAAGTAGCTAGGACTATAGGCATGCGCCACCATGCCCAGCTATTTTTTTTTTGGTAGAGATGGGGGGTCTCACTATGTTGCTCAGGCAGGTCTTGAACTCCTGGGCTCAAGTGATCTTCCTGCCTCAGCCTCCCAAAGTGTTGGGATTACAGGTGTGAGCCACCATGCTTAGCCTTGGGACTCCAATTATATATATACTAACTTTGTAGGGTTGTTCCCGAGTTCACTGAGGCTGTTTACATATTTTTTCCAATGTTTTCCTTACTGTTATTAAATTATATAATTTTCATTGCTCTCTCTTAGAGATAATTGACCCATCCTTTTGCCACCTCCAAACTGCTCCAACCATCAGATAAATTTTACATTTCAGATATTTGCTTTTTATTTCTAATATACCCATTTGGTTTATTTCTTTGCCGATCCATCTCATCTGTTTAATCATGTATTCATCTTTTCCCATGCATCCTTACATATATTTATAATAGCTGTTTTAAAGATCTCATCTGCTAATTTCAATATTTGGGTCATCTTGGGTTCTGTTTCTATTGACTATGTCTTATTTTGATTATGAGTCACATATTTCTGCTTCTTTACAGGTGTCATATATTTTAACCTACTGTTGAATATTGTTACAAAGGAGTTATACAGAGTCTGGATTATGTTATCTTCTTTTAAATGGTGTTGAGGTTTATTCTATCAGGCTATTAAACTACTAAAAAATCCTCTTGATCTTGTTAGGCTTTGTTTTGTTATGTATTATTATTATTTATTCTATGTCAGTTTTATCATTTGTCCTGAAATGTGGCCCTTTGTCTGGGTCATGGTATTTACTCGTAAGGTGTGGCCTCTTTAGAATTTCAATTGAACGCAAGAGGTGCTTAGTAAGGTCTCTCCATTTAGGTTGGGACAATATTCCAGTGTTTGCAGTACTGCACGGACTGTGATATCTTGGCCCAGTTCTCTTGTTCATAGCAACCATTCTCTTCTAGGCCTCATTAAGTCCCATCCTGCACATGGGCTACACAGGAACCATTGTGAAATCTTCTTTGTCTTCTTCTGCACACTCCTTTCTTTCTGGTATTCTGTCTTACAAATTTCAAGGATGACAACCACTCTAAACTTTTATCTAGATCTCTTCAGCTCAGCAAGACTTCCGTATTTCCTTGGATTCCACTTCCTTTCAGTCTAGTCGGTGTCCCCAGACAGAAAGCTGAAGAGGACATGTAGATCACTTCGTGTTTCCTTTCTCTCAAGAATCACTGCCCTGCAATGTTTGTCAAGTGCCTGGAATCTGTTATCTTGTGTATTTCTAGTTGTTTCTAGTGGGAGGATGTGACTAGCATTAGCTACTATCTATGGGCAGAAGTGGATGTCCTCTTATGTATGTTTTGGTGTATTGTCTACAACTTAATAATGTATGAAAACACACAATCACATTTTTCCTTTTTAAATGTAAAGATCTGTCTTTCATTACTGTGTCAGGCCACTACTCTTCATGATTATAGGTATTCTTAATCTAACTTCAATAACCATTAGTTTGTTGAAGTTCCTTTAAATGATTATATAATTAATTTTTCTAAATTATAATGATTAATAATTAATATGAAAAATACATCTGTAAGACTCATTGCAGTTTTTACCAAACATTGAAAAGACATTTTTAAAGAGTTTAACACAAGATTTGGGTATAGAACAAAGTATATTCTAATATGCTTCTATTTTCTAAAGTGAGATACAATAACATTTCAAGACAATAAAATCATCTGTACAAACCTTGTTCACTGATACAAGATTTAACTTGTAATTTTCTTAAAAACAACAGGGCCGGGTGGATCATGCCTGTAATCCCAGCACTTTGGGAGGCTGAGGCAGGAAAATCGCTTGAGGTTAGGAGTTCAAAACCAGCCTGGAAAGCATAGCAAGACTCCAGTCTCCACTATAAAAACAACAACAATAAATAACTTTTTTTTTCTCCTACTGGTGATAATTTCATGGGCACATCAAAGCAAATATCAGAAACAAACTTGCCACAGACATTGTATTTCTAAGAAAGCTGATATACATCATCAACAGCATCATAATTTATATGTTTTACTTTACTGTTTAACAAACCATATCAAAGCAATCTAAACAATAATGCTATTTAAATCAATCAATCAGATAAGACCTATTGAGTCAGTAATTTTCTTGAGAATACGACCTGCTCTGGGAACCTCTAGCCTAACATTCTGAAGACCCAGAGAATGTGTAATAAACAACATGCAGATACTCAGCTCTTATTCTGGCTCCTCATCTGTAAAATAAGGTTTGGTCTAGAGTTCCCTAGCACATCTTCAAATGGACCCATTTTTCCTCTGTTCTTCTGGCCTATCTTATTACAATGCTGGTTTTTGTTTTTTATCATAAAACATTCATTCTATACATTTATTTTCATCTTAAAGTAATGATGGCCATGTTTCTGTGTGATTATAACAATCTTCAAATAACTATAAATGGGAACAAAAGCAAACATGCAGCTAAATGCCAGGTAATTTTACTTTATTTTTTTTGAGTGAGACAGGGTCTCGTACTGTCACCCAGGAATGCAGTGGTGCAATCAGAGCTGTGACCTTGAACTCCTGAGCCCAAGCAATCCTCCCACCTCAGCCTCCTGAACAGTCAGGACCACAGGTACACATCAGCACACCTGGCTAATTTTTAAATATTTTTTCATAGAGATGGGGATCTCACTATGTTGCCCAGGCTTGTCTTGAACTCCTGGCTTCAAGTTATCCTCCTGCCTTGGTCTTCCACAGTGCTGGGATTACAGGCATGAGCCACTGTGTCTGGCCCCAGGTAATTTTAAAAGTTAAAATGTGTAACAATTATCCCATAAATATAATGCATTGAGTCTCTGATTGCTATTACATAAATGGACCAAAACTAAGAAACATAGCTTGTACATTTACATGGAAATATAGATGCTAGAATGATATCACTGCCTGCCATCAGTTATCTAAAATGGAGTCCAAGTTTTTAAAGTCATTTCCTCAGTAATGTTAACAAGTACAGGTGTTTCCTGATTTCAGTTGTTCGGACTCTTAAAATGAGTAACTCAGGGAAATGTGTAAAATTCCTTTGTTGACTTCCTTTCTCCTGTATCAAGACCAAGTTTCATCTTAGTACTCAATGTGGTTTTTGTACCATTGTACCCATGAGCTTATCATCTGCCTTTATTTTTGTTATACTCACCAGAGCACTTTTGTGTTTCTTGCTGCTTGTGTTATTTTTCAAGTGTTCCTCCACGTGTGTGTGTGTGTGTGTGTTATATTATTTTTTATTTACTTTTTGAGACAGAGTCTCACTCCACTGCCCAGGCTCTAGTGCAGTGGTACAAACATGGTTTATTGCAGCCTCGAACTGCTGGGCTCAAGTGATCCTCCCACCTCAGCCTCCCGAGAAGCTAGGTCTACAGGCATGTGCCACCACACTGGCCCTAGTTTTAGATTTTTTGTAGAGACAGAGTCTCACTATGTTGCCCAGGCTGGTCTTGAACTCCTGGCCTCAAGCAATCCTCCTGCCTCAGCCTCCCACAATGCTGGGATTTCAGGCATAAGCCATCATGTCCAGCCTCCTGCATATATAGAATCTCAGTTTAAGTGATTATATTTGGACTAAAACAATGTGTCAAAAAGTCTACCTCTGAGCTGGGCACCATGTCTCATGCCTGTAATCCTAGCACTTTGGGAGGCCAAGGTGGGAGGATCACTTAACATCAGGAGTTCAAGACCAGCCGGGGCAACATATTGAGACCCTGCCACTACAGAAAAATACAAAATTAGCTGGGTGTGGTGGTACAGCCTACAGTTTCAGCTATTTGGGAAGTGAGTTGGGAGGATCACTTGAGCCTGGGAGGTCGAGGCTGCAGTGAGCCGTGATCATGCCAGTGCACTCCAACATGGGTGACAGGAGTGAGACCCTGTCTCAAAAAATATTACCTCTGATTTGAAGGTTCTCTGCAAGTGGCAGGGTTGAGCCCCCTGTATTGTCATGGATCTGTGGCAGGGGCCAAAGGATGAGGCGAATGGGAGGGGATCTGTGGCAGCCAGGAAGGATGAAGCGAATGGAGGGGAAAGTGAGCAGCAGGATGAGGCAGAACTGATAACATTAATACAATGCTTTAGGGGTTTGCAATGTGCTTTAAATTCAGTTTCTCATTTAATTCTGTGCAATTATATGATTTGTCCAAAGCCATCTAGCAATTTTTTGAGGACGTAAACCAAAGTCTTTGAAAGCTGTTGTCTCATATGCCTAGAGTTCAGAAAAATCACCCAAATTTGTCAAATCCCAATATTTGGGCCATCTAACTCCCCGTGCCACCCCAAAAGGTCATGAATCGAAGATCTGAATTAACTTGCTATTACCTACTGGCTTCTAGAACTAAAATTATGTTGACTACTGTATTAGCCCGTCTTCACACTGCTATAAAGAACTGCCCGAGACTGGAAAATGCATAAAGAAAAGAGGTTTAATTGACTCACAGTTCCGTATGTCTGAGGAGGCCTCAGGAAACTTACAATCATGGCAGAAGGGGAAGCAGGCACAATCTTACATAGTGGCAGGCAAGAGAGAGAGTGCAAAAGGGAAAGAACTCCTTATAAAACCATCAGATCTCATGAGAACTCACTCACTATCACAAGAATAGCATGGAGGGCACTGCCCCGCATGATCCAATCACCTCTCTCCCTCAACAAAACACATGGAGATAAGAATTCAAGATGAGATTTGGGTGGGGCACAGAGCCACACCATATCATTCCATCCCTGGCCCCTCCCAAATCTCATATCTTTTCACATTTCAAAACCAATCATGCCTTCCCAACAGTCCTCCAAAGTCTTAACTCATTTCAGCATTAACTCAGAAGTCCACAGTCCAAAGTTTCATTTGAGACAAAGAAAGTCCCTTCCGCCTATGAACCTGTAAAATAAAAAACAAGTTAGTTCCTTCCAAGATAAAATGGGGTACAGGCATTGGGTAAGTACACCCATTCCAAATGGGAAAACACCCATTCAAAACAAAGGGCCTACAGGCCCCATGCAAGTCCAAAATCCAGCGGGGAAGTCATTAAATCTTAAAGCTCCAAAACGGTCTCCTTTGACTCCATGTCTCACATCCAGGGCACACTGATACAAGGAGTGGGCTCCCATGGCCTTGGGTAGCTCCACCCCTGTGGGTCTTCAAGGTACAGCCCCTTTCCCGGCTGCTTTCCAGGTGTTGGTGTTGAGTGCCTGTGGCTTTTCCAGGCACCTGGTGCAAGCTGTAGGTAGATCTGCCATTCTGAGGTCTGGAGGATGGTAACCCTCTTCTCACAGCTCCACTAGGCAGTCTCCCAGTGGGCACTCTGTGCGGGGGCTCCAACCCCACATTTCCCCTTTCACTGCCCTAGCAGAGGTTCTCCATAAGGACTCTGCCCCAGCAGCAAACTTCTGCCTGGACATCCAGGCATTTCCATACATCTTCTGAAATCTAGGTGGAGGTTCTCCAACCTCAATTACTGACTTCTGTGCACCTGCAGGCCCAACACCAAGTGGAAGCTGCCAAGGCTTGGGGCTTGCACCTTCTGAAGCAACAGCCTGAGCTGTACATTGGCCCCTTTTAGCCATGGCTGGAGCTGGAGCAGCAGTGCATGAGACTCAGCGTGCCATGTTCCAAGGCTGCACAGAGCAGCAGGGCCCTGGGCCTGGCCCACAAAACCATGTTTTCCTCCTAGGCCTCCTGACCTGTGGTGGGAGGGGCTGCTGCCAAGATCTCTGTGTCATGCCCTGGAGACATTTCCCCCATTGTCTTGGCAATTAACATTTGGCTCCTTGTTACTTGTGCAAATTTCTGCAACCAGTTTGAATTTCTCGCCAGAAAATGGGTTTTTCTTTTCTATTGCATTGTCAGTCTACAACTTTTTCAAAGTTTCATGCTCGGCTTCCCTTTTAAACATAAATTCCAATTTCAGATAATCTCTCTCAAGTTCAAAGTTCCACAGATCTCTAGGACAGGGGCAAAATGCCATCTGTCTCTTGGCAAAAGGATAGCAGGAATCACCTTTGCTCCAGTGTTGAATAAGTTCCTTATCTCCATCTGAGACCACCTCAGCCTGGGCTTCATTGTCCATATCACTATCAGCATTTTGGCGCAAACCATTCAACAAGTCTCTAGGAAACTCCAAACTATCCCACATCTTCCTGTTTTCTGCTGAGCCCTCCAAACTGTTCCAACATCTGCCTGTTACCCAGTTCCAAAGTCACTTCCACATTTTCAGGTATCTACAGCAGTGCCCCACTCCTGGTACCAATTTACTGTATTAGTCTGTTTTCACACTGCTATAAAGAACTGCCTGACACTGGGTAATTTACAAATAAAAGAGGTTTAATTGACTCACAGTTCCACATGGCTGGGGAGACCTCAGGAAACTTATTTAGGTTGGTGCAAAGTAATCGTTTTTGTAAACATAATTGTGTTTACCTTTAATGGCAAAAACCACAATTATTTTTGCACCAATCTAATACAATTATGGTGAAAGAGGAAGCAGACATGTTCATCCTACATGGTGGCAGGTGAAGAGAGTGTGCAAAGGAGAAAGAGCCCCTTATAAAAGAATCAGATCTTGCAAGAACTCACTCACTATCATGAGAACAACATGAGGGAAACTGCCGCTATGATCCAGGGTGGTTGACATGTGGGGATTACAGGTCCCTCCCTTGACATGTAAGGATTATAATTCAAGATGAGATTTGAGTGGGGACACAGAGCCAAACCATATCAACTACATAGTAGGATTTTATTAAATTAGTACTGAAAAGAAGCAGTACCTAATTTACCTACTTTACTTGTCCAGCATTTTGAATGAACATTTGCTAAATTTCTGTGTTCAAAACAAACGATTCTCGTGCTTCAGCTTCCTAG